GGTAATAAATTAAGACATATGACAGAGATACGAGAACATTATGTAAAAGAATGTGTAGCGCGAAATTTTGTTGATGTTGAATGGATCCCGTCAAAGAATCAGATTGCTGATATATTCACAAAACCTCTTGCGTTTGACCTACATAAATATTTGACTGATAAATTAATGAATGCTAAAATAGATCAATATTAAGTTATTAATTATTCTGTTTCAGGAAAATAAACTCAAAGACTCACCGGATAGCCATTGTATTATTCCGCCTTAATAATATTAATTGAATAATTATTATCATTATTAGTAGCCAGAGATATGTAACTTTTATATATTAAGAAAATCTATATATTTTATATGAATCATTGTAAAATGGTGAAAGACGGCTAGACGGGAGGGAGTGTTGAAAGTAACGCCTAACCGTCTTACCCCATGAGTAGTGGGGAGGTCATGTGATGTCATGATCCCTGCTTGAGATGAGATTTGAGAACTGTACCACCACTTACTTCAGATTGAGTTTTGGTAACGTGCGAATGCACATATTAATAAATACTCTTAACTATTAATTGGTATTGTTTATTTAAAAACAATAATCTCATAAAAAATTTTAAAAAGCTTTTTTTTATTTTTACAATTTTCATTGTAAAATTACACAGTGCAATGTAATGTTACCAGAAAATTTTATTTATATTACGCGAATTGTAATTCTGCTTCACTTTTTTTCAATTTTAAAAATAATACTTTTCAGTTTTACAAAAATGAGACTGATGTATAAAAAAACAACAATGTCCTTCATATTTATTTTTACTAATTTTTAGTCTATGGTTGTTTATTTGAAATAATAAATTCGAGGCATAATTTATCTTTTATAAATTTTAATATTATGTTCAAACCATCATTTCGAAATCAATATATTTGTATGAGTATATGTTAGACTTTTCCATCAATAAACAACATAAAATAATACAAATAATGTAAATTATAAATAATAAGCCGTAATGCTCAATCACCACATAGGATTAGCTTATAAGAATAATAAGATGTTGAATTACCTATCGGTCGTACGGCGTAGGGCGTTCGATATCGGTCTGGCAAGCGCGCGACTCGCGTTTGATTCTTAGTTAGGGTAAATATTATTTTCACTTTATATCATCTGAGTTGAACAAATTAGGTCTACGTGAGATACAAAATCTAGTCTTTTTTTTTTATTATTTCAATTCAAGTAAAATTCAAGGAAAGTATTGTAATTTTACAAACTTAGCTAATCTAAAAAAATTTGTAAAATTACAAAACCGTTTTGTAAAATTAGTAACCTCACTGAGCTATATATGTTTTGTAATTTTACTATACTCGATTGTAATTTCAAATAAATGTTTTGCCTATATATTAGCTTCCAATACATTTCTTGTAAAATTACAATAGAAATTTTTAACAGTGTAGCGCTTAAATAATATCTCAAGTAATTAATGTTTAGTATAATGTTATATCTCTTACATGTTGATACTGTTAAATAAATATTAATGGGTCTCACCAGGCGTAAAAGCAACTCCGAAGTATACCTGCGGGCTCGGCGGTACACCCCTGAAATAACTCCTGTTTCCTCCGTTAAGTTACTCTTCTCTCTCTTACTCACTC